GGAAACTCCATACTGTCTTCCATAGTGGCTGCACCAGTCTGCATTGCCACCAGCAGTGCACAAGTGTTCCTTTTTCTCCACATCCTCTCCAGCACTTACCGTTTGTTGATTTGTTGATGATAGCCAGTCTGACAGGTGTGAGATGGTACCTCATTGTTGTTTTGATTTGCATCTCTCGGATGATTAGTGACTTTGCGCATGTTTTCATATGTGAGAGACCATGTCTTAATTCACTTCCATGTCATCAGCACCAAGGGTAATGCTTGATGCAAAGCAGGTGTCAAGATAAGAAATGTCCAAAACTGCAGAGAATTTTTATATAAGAGTTTGAGTCAAACTGATGGCATATGCTCTCAAATGTTTCCAAAATAACAATTTCACAACTTATTAGATGCAACTAAAATTAAGGAGGGAATGTAAAGAAGATTATGTGGAGATAAGAAAAAGCAAGGTGGTGATTAGATTACAGAATAATTAATAAAATTATTTGCTCTCTCCAGGGTTAACACCCCCCCTTCAACAGGTATTACTTCTGGAGATTGATTTCAAGAGAGGAAGGAAGAGAGATAGAGATAAAAACATCAATGATGAGAGAGAATCATTGATCAGCTGCCTCCTGCACGTCCATCCCCTACTTGGGAGGAGCCACAACCCAACCGGAATCGAACCAGGGACCCTTCAGTCTGAAGGCTGACGCTCTATCCACTGAGCCAAACCAGCTAAGGCTTATTTCTGGTATTTCTAAGGTGTGTAGGCCTAGATGCACAAGAACAATGGACAGGGCTGGCTCAAAACCTTTCACTGAGGAAATTAAATGCCTGTGTCATAACCATCCACCAAGACCCCCTGAGTTAGGAACTTACGACCAGATCACCCTGTGATGTTACTTATCATAAACCCCTCCTTTCTTTCTGTCCACAGAAGGTATCCATGCTGTTAATCTTTTTTCTCCTGTTTATCTGTCTTTTATTATAGGGATGTCTCAGAGCAATAGTCTATATTATATAGTCTAGATGTGTAGTAGCCCTATCACTTAGGTTTGTATAAGAGCACTTTATGATGTTCAAACAAGACAACATTCCCTAACGATGCATCTCCCTCCTTCAGAGACACACGACTGTGCTTTGCTCTGTTCCCAATCCCTTCTGGAAATGCCTTGACGGCCACATGCCACTTGGAGGTTTTCAACTCTACAGTATTAACATTGTCCGCCACAAGCGTCTGCAGAGGCAAGCGGCAGACCTTCCCCACACACCGTGCGTCTATAAAAAAAAATGTTTTCCCTTAGTGGCAGCCCTGACCAACTTTAAAATCATTTTTCGTGAGAACTTTCAGCTGAAAATAATCAAGAACACCCGAATTGTAATATATTTATTTTTATAATATTCATTGCAAATTGATTTTTTAAAATAAGTTCAAAATATCGTGGCGCGTGGGGATGGTTTCCGTTTTGGATGCACGGCAGCTTCCATTTGTACAGAAAACGACAGGAGGTGAAAAAGCATTGGGCACTGTTTGGAATCCATCCACCTGTTTAACACATCATAATTGAAACCTTTCAGTGACAAGTCTTAGGGTAAAAGATCTGACCCTTGGACCCCATTTTTGCCTCATTTCACCCCAATCTCCTCCTGTTCTCTATTGGTCTTCTTCGGATTTCAGCCATAGGACATGTGCCTCCCTTTGCCTGGACTAGATTCATAGTTATAGTTCAAGTCAAGGTCAATTCTTCAGAGACTTCCCTGACTCTCAAATCTATCTCAGAACCTTCTTCCAGTCATTCAGAGCAGGCTTCCACTTGGCTACGTGTGGTTATTTTGCACATACCTCCCCCTCCCCGCCCCAAATTTGTACTCTGAGAGCAGAATCGATGAATGACTGGTTACTGGATGTATCCCCCATGTCCAGAATGGTGCCTGGCATGCGGTAAGCACTAAGTGTCTGCTGAATGAGTGAATAAGTAAAAGATTTCCAGGACACTGAGGACACAAAAGTGAGGAGGCCATGTCCCCGCCCCTCTCCAGTTTTGGGGTGGTGTGGGGGGCACAGACCAATAAACGGATGAGTACCCTGCTCCCAAAGAAGCCAAGTCCCGCGTTTTCCTCCAGCTGGTGGGTGATTCAGAGGAAGGGGTGGGTTTAAAGGCGGATGCTGAAGCGGAGCGCTCGATGATCGATCCACAGATCCCGGCCGAGACCCCAGGGCCTCTGCTAGGCTGCAGGAGCTCACGGGGCCGGGCTGTGGCGGGTAGCCAGCTGATCCTTCTCGGTGTCCCCGGTGCCCCCCGC